CGAGCCGCGAGACTTCTTCGATTGTTGTTCCGTAAATTTGTCCATTTTATTCCACTTTGGGTCTTCCTTGACAATCTCTGAAATCTTTTCGTACTAAAAAACGTAACCGGTCTCGACAAGATATTGGTCCCTCGCCACTCTATAAACGTCAAAATCAGTCGCACTACTTTGCTAGTGCGAGGAAAGTTTGTTGTAGAGGGAATTGTAGACCAAACAAATGATGTTGCAATACATTGGTTAAAGAAAATTAAACAACACAATCAAAGCAGAGGAAATTCACAACTTCATAGTTCTGTAGTAATCAATAGATAACCTTAAAAAGCCTTTTCACATTACCCCCAAGAAAATATTATTGACAACATTTGACGATTCTTTTAAAACGCAAGGGTATTCGAAGATTCAAAGAAAACATATCGAATATATGTGGGTATTTTTGTAATTTACATCTTCAGCAATCAATGAAACCATATTGTCATCAATACCCTTTTTCATAACCTTAAGCCCACACTAATACACATCGGTGTCGTCTTTCTTGAGTACTTCCCATAGCTTTCAGTTCGGTCATACAAATTAAGTTTTTAACCCATTTATTAAAACATAAACCATTAACATAAAAAATTAAGAACAAAATTAAAAATTAGGAAGACAATGTTAATTTTCTTGATTTGAAAGATTGTTGGAATCAGGTCCTTTATGTGTCTTCAATAATCAAATCTTCATTGATTTTTCTACAAGATAAAACCTCAAGTTCTTAAAACATGTCTTTATGAAAAGTGTAAGGATATTATTATTAAAAATAATAAAGTAACAATGATTATAGATGATGACATATGTTCATTTTGCAACAGTTTTGTATATTATCAGAAGAGTAGCTTAGTTCATCACATGTTCAAAACTGTTGAGTTGTTTGGCTATATCACTATGATATTCTACATTCAAATTCTTTGGTTGAATCATAATGCTATAATTCGATTAAATGTCTCATTTACCTGCTGCTCTTTCGCTTTCTCTTTATCCTTCTAATCACGCAAACAGAAAACATACAAATTTTTTAATCAATTAAAAACAGAGAAGATGGCAATTGATCAATCAATTTAAAAACATGAAATCAGCAGTACACGCAACCAATAGAAGTATAGACTCTTGCAAATCAATTGAATTGTAGAAGTGTGTTGGAAAAAACTACTAACCTGCATCTCTTAAAATTGACACTGAGTAAAGGTCGGGTTTCTTCTGTTGTGTAATAGAATGGTTTTTGATGAATCTGGGTATGTGACCTCCTACTACTGACGTTCCACGGTGTTGAACAATTAATGAATATGAGAGAGTTGGCGACGCATTTTCAAAGCAAAGTCGGAATTGTAGGTTCCTTTTTGAAGACAAACTTGCAATCTCCCTGCAGAACTCAACCTCCTCAAAGTCGTGTTATTTATGGAAATACTGTAAACAATGAAGATGGCGGTGGAGAATCTGTGTGCAAAAATGTGATTGGAAATAGCCAGTGTCAGCATGGATAAAAATTGACAAACTGTAAGAAAATGTTGTGTCAAAATTCTGAACCATACAAAATATATTATTCCTATAAGTGGTAAGAATTAATATAAATTTAAAAGTTAGAATATTGCATTTTATTTAACATCAAGTTTACTTTAAAAAACTAAATGTAGTACGATAATAATTAAGATGATCAATGATACTAATGATAATATTTTATATTTAATAAGTTAAATAAGGTTGAAAGTCGAAAATACAAAGGTTTCAAGTCAATATATTGAAAATAAAAATTATATATATATATATATATATATATATATATATATATATATATATATATATATATATATACTAATTTTTAAACCTGTGAGACCATGGTTTAATTAAACTTTCATACTAAAAACTCAAAATTATTAATAAATTATTTTAAATAAATTCTTAATTAAAATATATTTTTTAGTTATACAAAATTATAATAGTTGATATAAATAAATAAATGACTTTATAATATGTATTAATTTTAGTTTAATTTCTATTATAATGTTATTAATTTAATGTAAGTAAAGTGGAAATTTTGAAATTTGAAATAGAAAATAATAGGTTGAAAATTAGCATGATATTAATTAGGAGGTCTAATAGGTGACACGTGGCAAAAGGAGAATCTATTTATTCTTTTATTAGATATATATATATATATATATATATATATATATATATATATATATATATATGGAGAGAGAGAGAGAGAGCCCGTTCAATAAAAAAAAATCTAAATTTAAGAACATCAAGAACAAATTTGGACCATAGAATTTTTTATAATTAAAATTATAAAGTAATATATATGTGTATATATATATATATATATATATATATATATATATATATATATATATATGTGTGTGTGTGTGTGATCAAACGAGAACACCAAAAAATTTGAGAACGCAAGAACAGTTTTGGACCAACCAATTTCTAAGGTTAAGTTACTAATTCAGTATTTAAAATAAATTGCAACTCCTAAAATCTAGGGGTAATGATTTTAGTTACCTAAAACTTTCATTTAATTTAAGTATTTTAGGTAATTTAAAATATACCAAAAAGATACTTAGGTAATTTTATCAGCTTGATCCCTAAAATCAGCTAGCATCATCTTTCACGTCTCTATGCCTACGCTTATGTCCTCTTGAAGAGAACCATAATTCATACGTCTTCTTCACCGATCGAGCAACCTTGAATTCGTCAAGAATAGTGAACCACCACCACCGCCATCATCATCGTCCCAACACACTATCACAACCACTTACCATCTCCGAATAACCACCACCATCGAAGATATTGTCATTCATGTCTGCCATACCCATGGTCTATTCTTCTCCGCCGCCAGATCGTTCGTCCAATGCATCATCGACATCCTTTTCGGGTGATTATGTCTACTACACTTTATAATATTGCCTCTGTTTATCTTTGTCTTCATTTGTTTTTTCTGAAATTAGGGTTTTTTAACCATCGGTTTTGGGGTATTAATGATTTTTTAGATCACTGTTCTCATCAATGAGTTAATGAAGTGCTCCACACTACTAAAAAAAAGGCCTTTTACGACGCTCATTGCGCGTCGTAAAACGCTCAGACGATGCGCAAATGCGCGTCAAGGAAAGAGACGACGCACTTTTGCGCATCATCTATAGACGACGCGCATTTACGATGCACATTTATGATGCGCATTTACGACGCGCGGTTATGACACACAATGCGTATCAAGGAAGGCCCTGTCATAAATGAAGACGACAGGCATTTGCGTGTCGTGACCTTACGACGCGCGTGTTTATGACACGCAATGCGTATCAAGGAAGCCCCTATCAAGAAAGGCCATGTCATAAATGAAGATGACATACATTTTTGCGTATCATAATTTTAAATGTTCTAAAAAAAATATATTTATATATTTATTAATTTTTAAATTAAATTTGCATTTAATGTCTCATAACAGAAAACAAAATACCATATACAAAAAATACAATCCATTACATAAAATTTTATACAAATGACAAACTGTATTTCATATTCATACATATGATTGCATTATTCATTAAAAAAAACATATACCTTCATCTTCCCCTAAAATGTTATTACATGATGTTGGCCATTTCATTGATGGATCACTAAGAGGAAAAGCAACAACTACGCTAAATGTTCCATGATGTGCCGATACTCATGTCCTGTAACTTTAAATATTAAAGAAAGTAAAATACCTCCTAAAAATAAGAATGCATAAGAAACAACACATCATAATGAGAAATTACTAACATGAATGGAAGAAGTACACTGTAAATTTGTTTTACCAAGAGTGGAATGGATGATCAGGTGCTACAAAGTTTGTCCAAGCTGCCAAACAAAGACTGTATGCAAACCAAAACATACATACACTATAAATTTAATTACCATACAAATCATATTCATACATACGAGTTTGTTTTACCTTTTTTTCCTCATATCTTTATCATTTTTTTTCTTATTAGCCATGGAGTGTTGGTGTTTTCTTTTCTCTCGTTCAATCAACCCTTTGTTTTACTTTGAAAAATTAACAATTTCCCTACCAATTGACTCTGTATCAAACAGAAAAAAGTAAGTCAATCAATAGTCAACGGTGAATACCAACTACAAGTTTTTACTGAAGTAACCTGACACCATAAATACTTTGGTTTAATAAACAGGAACATGTATGTATAAAAATCGTAATTGAAGTACTTTGGTCTAATACCTCCATTTCTAGTAAGTGTCCAATCATTGTTTGTGAAGGTTGAAGACCTTCAAACAAAAAACTCCCAATAATGTCATTAATGTGCATCTTAAGAACAGGAAACTATTGTAGTTCATGCACTAGACAACTATAGGTGATCTGAAATATTTCCTAAATATTTATTTATTCTGAATTATAAAAAAAGAAAAAAAGATAATACCTTTACTAATTCGTTGTATACAAGTCTAGCACATTGAAGACAATGATCCAACAACCGAGCTATTTGTCTTCGAACCAAAACTTGAAGTGGAACCTATATATATGTATTAAAGGGTTAAATTATTAATATAAATAAATAAATAAATAAAAATTTAAACCTCTTGCACGAATAAAGCGGATCTAGGACCAGTTGCATGGTGGTTGTTGTTGTTGGAAAGAAGAATATTTGATTTTCAGCTAACTTTCCTAATTCCTAGTTTAATTCTCTTGTTTATATGTAAAATCTTCATCAACTTTTGCTTATCTAATAAGGTTGTTCCCTCCCTGAATCATAACAAGGAACGTGAAGCAAAATCTCAAATGTTTTTATTAGTCAAGACTTAAGACCATATCAACCTTCAAGGTTGTTACATCTAACTCATATAGTGATCAATAATGTGTCTATATATAGAAAAAGTGTAGGTTGTGTCATCATACCTTAAATGAGAAATTACTGAATGAGTAATTCACATTGAGAGTTGAAGCACCAAATTCTTCTAGGTTACCACATTCATCACCCGACCTGTTTAATCACATAGCCAAATGATCAAGGATTACAAAAGAAACCAGGTATGTGTGTGTGTCGAAAAGGATGCATGGATATGAGATCATACCTCTTCCTCTAGCATATTGCCAAAAGAACTATCACCAAATGTGCAACCTATATCAAACATATCATCGAAATCGTTGCCTCCATCAACTTGCTCATCTTCTGGATTCCAAATAGACCAGCTCATGAAATAACTCGTGTCGAGAGTCTTAGCAGATGGTATGAATGTAGCCTGATTGAAACATACCCCCACACAACTCAAATCAACTCAACTCAACTATTATAAAACAACTTTTTTTTTCTTAAAATAAAAGTTTAAAATAGATGAAATTACCTTCTGCCTTGCAAGTGTGTCCCAGTGGATATTCTTAAAGAAATGGTGCATGTCTACCTGTTTGTTTATCATTAATAAGTCACACACACTATTTATCAATTAACTTCCTACCTCTTTGCCTTATATATATATATATATATATATATATATATATATATATATATATATATATATATATATATATATATAATGGAGAGAGAAAATGTTACCTGTACAGCCCCTATGGCACCAAGGCGTTGAGCTGGATTTTCAGTCAGCAAACTAAAATTGAAATAAACATAAACATAATTATAATTATGTATAAATATGTGATGATTGGATTGATTGATAAAAAAGTAGAAACTTACTTATTAATCAGATCATATGCTTCATAGCTCATCTCCTTAGGAATCTTGGGCCATGTTATATCTCTGTTCATAATGTTGGCAAAGACTTGCTGCACCCTAACCCAACCAAATTCAGAAAATGAGAAGATGACCAAAGTACGTTTGTTACCTTTTTATGCAATGCAATGAAATCTACCCTCCATCCTCAACAAAGTGTCAGACTTTTATGAGAGTGAGTACTTGTGGAGATTTTTCATTAAATGCTGGTATCCCTACAAGTAGCTCAAAAAGAATAACACCAACAGACCACCAGTCAGCGGTTGCACCTACAACAAACCAAACCAAAGGAATTAAGTGTGTTTCAACTTTCAATATATAGATAAGCAATAAGCAGAAAGACATTTGAATAAATGATAAAGGGTAAAGGGCAGGGGGTATAGTTGTAAATTCCAACCATGTCCCGCGCCAAGAAGTATCTCAGAAGACAGATAGTTAGGAGTCCCAACAACTGACTGTTTCTAAGAAGTTCTAGTGGGATTCACTGAGTCAATTCCAGTGGCCTAAGCCCTTTTGATGTTTATTAGAAACAATAGTGACTGCCTTCAGATGAGTTGAGTTATTTTAAGCGGAATACATTTAAACAACACTACATTCTCATCTATTTTCATCTCTCTCAACTTGGCAACAAAGTTAGCAGGTTCTGAATAAAGTACACGTGGATCTGCCAAAACATGTCATACATACATACCTCCAGTTAAACAATACATTAGATATATCAAGAAAATGATATTGGCACAAATTACCAAATAAAAAAAAGTAAACACTACAATATGTCACTGTTGTCATCTTCTGGAAAGGACAACCTACCATTATTCCAGCAGTAACAACTATGGCTAGATAATTCTAAGCTTTTACCTATTCAAAATAGACACCCATCAGTAATTAAATTCAACATTTTCATTTGATGATCTGTCAGATGGATTTATGTCAGTTAAACTGAAACAAGATACATTGGCACTCACAATGTCAACTGGTGAATATGATTTCCTGTAAAAGTAGAACTCTTCTTTCCAAGGATCACCCCATTCCTACAATAGAGCAAGTCATTCACATTTAGAAAGAAACACACTAATATTATCATAGTATCCTACTTTGAGTTTCCAAAACAAAAAAAAATATTATATATAAATCACCTCCCATTCTGTAGTTGTAAGAGGAATAGTTGGACCAAGCATTGTAGTCACAACATCTACAAATGGTACTCCAGCTACAGTAGCCTTAAATAATTCAGGTCTCATGTTCACAACAGCACCAATAAGAAACCCCCTGCACTTCTTCCATTAATGGACAGTTTTTCTTTCGTACAATATTTCTTTTGGTCTGAGAAGTGTGAGTTTCACCTATGTCGTTGGGTGATTAAAGGCGATGAGGTTGCGTTTTTTTCTTAGAGAGAGGGAGGGCAAGAAAGTAAACACAAACCTCACAGATTAGAGAGGTTATAGAAACTAGTAAGGGTAACACCAATGAAAAATCTAACGGATTATTGAGAGAAAAACTGATTTTTGTTAGTTTAAAAGCTATCGAAGTATCAAGAAATTTCCAATCCAGGAGAATTCAGAAAGCAGATAGATAGGTACCTGATTTGACTAGATGCGCAAATGGACTAGGGTTTGTAAATTTAAGGAGTCGTTGTAGATGGAGTAGGGTAGAGGTGAAGAGGAGTTCAGTTATGAATTTTACGTTGAGATTATTGTGTCTAAATTTCTCCATAAAGATACGATCGAGAGAGAATGGTCTTCGATTTTTGGAAGGAAGCGAGGGTGTTACAGAGAGGGGGGATCAGACTCACATGGAGATCTAAGGAGAGAGTGAGCGGTCTTCGATCTGATCGAGAGAGAATCATCGCCATAAAGATACGATCGAGGAAACTCGTCTTGAGAGGGGAAATTATTTGGGAAGAACTTGAAGCATTTGAAACCCTAGAACGTGATTCGATGTAACTTGACAGTGGCCATTGTAGATTGATAGATTGAAGACCTGGAGCGATCCCTTGTGAAGAAAGTTGCGCGATTACAGAGAGTCCTTGTTGACCGGATCCAAAGATTCCATCAATGGCTCTATCGGGTTTGGTTAAATCCCCAGTTTGGAATGTGCTACATCTGGTTCATGAACTTGCCAAGTCAATTAGGGTTTTTTTTAATGAAAAATGAAAGGGGTTAATGGATTAGGATGATGTTGTACATGAGAAAACAAAGAAAAAGAAGGAGACCTCGTAGATCAATTACGATTCACCTTCGAGGTTTACAGAGAGATAGGAGGTAGAGAGTGAAGGGAGATCTAGAGGAGAGAGTATCAGAGAGGGGAGAGTGGATTGCAAGGATGAAAAATACATAGAAGATAGAAAAAACAAGGCGGATTTTCAAAATTTTGGGGATTTCGTTTCCCCCTTCATTAACTAAAAGCGCGTTTCATTAAAATTATAAAGCGACATGTACAGATGACGCACGTTTAAGATAAAGCGCCCTCCGTGTTTCTAATTTTTTTTTCTTGAGACACTAAATTAAGGGCACGCAATAATGCGTGACGTAAATCCTTAAATTTTTTGGAGAGATAACACTATTTTAAGGGCACGTCCTATTGCGTATCGTTAATCAGTGCGTGTCGTAAAAAGCGTGTCATTAAAGGTTTATTTTCTAGTAGTGCCACCATAAATTGCCTAATAATCAATTAAATAGTTAACCATGCAAACCAGAAAACAGGTTCAAAGAAAAGGTTGTGCATGGAAATTGTTTGCGGAAATTTGTGAGATCCATGGTTATAGAATTAATTAAACTTTCATACTAAAAACTCAAAATTATTAATAAATTATATTAAATAAATTCTTAATTAAAATATGCTTTTTAGTTATACAAAATTATAATAGTTGATATAAATAAATAAATGACATTATAATATGTATTAATTTTAGTTTAATTTTTATTATAATATTATTAATTTAATGTAACTAAAGTGGAAATTTTGAAATTTGAAATAGAAAATAAATAATAGGTTGTAGCATAATATTAATTAGGACGTCTAATAGGTGACACGTTCCATGTCTCTAATCTAAAGAAGTGTCTAGCGGATGCCGCCATTGAAGTGCCACTTCAAGAAATTAAGGTTGATGAGAAGCTGCGATATACAGAAGAACTCGTCGCAATAATAGATCGAAAGGTCAGAAAATTAAAGAATATGGAGATACCACTGGTGAAAGTTCAGTGGAAGTATCATAAAGGTTCAGATGCAACATGGGAGACCGAGCGAGATATGAAGACTAAATACCCTCACTTATTTGCTTAATTCAAAATTCCGAGGACGAAATTTTTCTAAGGGGGGGAAGTTTGTAGTAACTTGTATAGAAAAATATATACCATATATATAATCAGGTTATGTTAATAAAAGATGATTAATTCAAAATTAATGGGTTGATTAGAAGGGAATTATGAGGTATAATGTCTAGAAACCGTCATCCATGATTAAGCCTTAAATTCGAGCAAGTGAGGGGATAGTAACTGATGAAACCTTAGGCAATATATAGAGCTCGAAATTTCTAGTGGAAATCCCACTGGAATTGCAAGAAACGATTGAGAATCGAGGAGGAAATCAAAGGAGGAAGTGCGTAAAGCATTTTTGGAGTTGTGCTCGAAATCAAGGTATAAACCTTCAATTTCAGCTCGTTATAATTGTTAGAGTATGTTTACAAGGTCGTTCTGTGTGTTTTGGTTCCACTTAGGGTCTCGATTCGGCTACAATACTAAGAATTGATGAGAATTTTTGAAGTGTTATTTTGAGTGCAATAAAATGTTAATTTAACTTAATTTGGATATGTTTTAGTATTTGATTCTGAAAATAAGTTGGTATGTAGTGGAGATAATGAATGGTAGATTTAATTATTCATTTGGTATCATTTCAGAGCTTTATTGAATTTAAAAATAGCTGCAAATTGATTTTTTTTCGGTAGAGAAGACAAGAAACTGGATCAGAGTTCTTGGGGTTGTACTCGTTTCTTGTGTTTTAAATAAATAATTTTGGGCTTCTAACAAAAGAGTGTTTTGGTCCACTTAGCAGGAGTCCACGTTACCACTTCGATCCTAGTGTACATGTTGCACCATTATTATTATTATGTTTTCCTTCTTGAAATGTGACGTCCACCCCACTGGCTTTTCTTTTAATTAAAACGGTTTTTACATAATTAGCACCTATATTTTGATAAGTTGACAGATTTGATTTTTTAGAAAGACGTTGTACAACTGCTTTTCATATTTCATATGTAAACATAAGTTACGGTAATAATCCCTGCAATATTAATAATTGGTTAGTATCCATTAATAGTAGTTTTATTAGTGATTTCAAAACCACGAGTCTTGTTAATTACAGGTTTTTTTTTTATTATTTTGGTTTATTTTATTTATTTAATTTTGTTTGGCTTTTGAGTATTAACTTTAACGGTGAAACTTTAACTTCGAAAGAAGATATGATATTAGTTCTAAAGTTATTACGAATTTTGTAATTAACATAATTGGATTGTTATTGGTTGGCCGAACGAGATACGTGGATAGTGGGACTAAAACGAACACATAAGATGTTTTTCTAGGATTGAAGCCTTAGAAAATATGTTGGTTAAATGTACGGTGCGGGTAGCGTGACAAGCTTGGTTAAGACCTACGCCAACAAGGTGAGTTTCGTGTGAATTTTTTGGTTGCTTGCATGAAAAGTTGATTCTAAATTATTTGCAATTATATGTTACCGTTGTTATTGCTATGAATATGTGTGTGAAATTTTGTGAATTATTCCATATAAAAGGGTGAAAATGGTGGGTGACATATAGGGAATAGGTGTATTTACACGATCTTATTATTAGTCATCGTACAAGATGTTAGTACGCAGCGGAGAGCTTACGTTCTGTTTATCTAGCCGTAAGCATATTTGTTGTGCCCCGCGGAGGGACTCGTTCCTGGAAATGACAGTAGTTCCCTAATATGTCATCAAGGGTGGAAAGAAATGAAAAGATTTATATTGATAAATTGTTGCATTATTTTTATTTTATTTGACGTCAATATGCATGAAAACCACGAACTCACTAGGCCCTAGGCTTACCCATTAGAATCTTTAAATGCACGCAACCAAGGAAATAACGTAGCAAGTGGCAGCGGGAATGGAAAGGATAAAGTTTAGACTTGAAGAAGGCGACAAGTTTTGAGGAAGACGTAGCGCACCAAGTGTTTAATTAAATTTCTATTTGCTTCCGCTATTATTATTAATAATTACATTACTATTTGAATCTTGATTTTTGGAAGTTTTGGGACTCTGTTAAGTTATATTTATATTTGAAATTTGGGGCGTTACATACCACCCACCACCTACCACCACCAACCACTTATCACCCATTACTACAACCTACAACCCACCAACCACCCACCACCTACCACCTACAAACCACCACCACCCATGACCTCCACCACTACCCACTATCACCACCACCTCAACTATATATCACCGTCAACACCATACCCAGTTACCGCTCACCATTACTACCGACTACCCACAACCCACCTCCACTACTCATTACCTACCTATCATCCATCACCTCTACCACCTACCACAATAACCACCCACACCCCCACCACCACATTATCACCACCCACCACCAATACCACCACCCACCACCCAAATACCACTACCACCACAACCTATCACCACCCACATTTACCACCCATCACAAGCCATCACCAACACCCGCCACCACCAACCAAAATCACTAAGCACTACCAACACTACCACCCAACCCCACTACCCACCATCACCGCTCACTACCAGCACCTACCACCATGATCCACCTCCACCACCACCACTAATCATCACCACATGCCACACCCACCCACCAACAACACTAGCACCCACAAACCTCACCAACTTTAACCACTTACCACCAACACCCATCACAACCTACCACACACCACCACTACCGGTCACCACATCTATCGTTAACCACCTACCCACACACCCACTACCACCACCCACCACCCATATCTACTACCCATCACCCACCACCACCACATGTTAGAACCACCCATCTTAAATGTCTGGCACTATCACCCACCGCCACCCACCAACCAAAATTACCATCCACCACCTACCAACCACTATATACACTTATCATCCCCACCATCATTCACCATCCCCACCACAACCCACCTTCCTGCACCTACAACCCCTACCATCAAGTAACCATAATTACCACTACTTATCACCACTCACC